TATATGCAAACAATGAATCATGGAACACTACATCAAAAACTAATGATGTAATGTATGGTGATTAACATAACATAATAAAAAAAGAGAAAAAAAAGAAAGAAATCTGGCATTTTTGTCCTACTTTACACACCCATAATTACCATATGACTCAGGTATTCCCTTTTAAGGATTTTCCAAGAAAAATTAAAGAACATAATTGCACAAAGACCTCTACATGGATATGCATAGTTTTATTTATAATAGCTACAATTTCTAAATAATCCAAGTGATCATCAACAGGTAAATGTATAAACAAATTGGGATATAATTTTAAAATGACACACTTCTTAGCAATAAACACTAATGAATTATTAAGAATCACAACGTAACAGATAAATGCTGAGTGAAAGAAGCCAGATATAAGAGTATGTGACATATGATTCCAGTTTTATGAAATTCTAGAATAGATTATTCTAACCTATGGTGAGAGAGAGCAGATCATTAATTGCCTTGAGTCATGTGGGCTCTTGACTTGGAAGAGGGTGAAGGAAACATTCTTTGTCTTATTTATAGAAATGGTTACATGGGTATATACATTAATATCAATTTATATAACTGTGATAGAGTTAACATAAAGTATAAAAACAATGAGAAATTAAAGGCAATTTGGGGGAAAGATGATGGGAGTTAATTTAGCTTGAAGGAGGGTCTAAGAGGAAAGTTTTGAGAAAAGGAAACATGGCTTTTCCTTCATTTCACTAACTTTTTTGAGGATTCTAATTATAAAGAATATAAGATGAAAGCTTTCGATTTGTTCCTAAAATTTTTATTTGGAATCTCACCTGCTTATTTTTTCAGGGGCCTCCATCATCTTATTTTTCTATCACTTATATCTATATCTTTATATATCTGTAGCAAACTATCCTATCTATCATCTATCTATCTGCCTATCATCATCTGTCTGTCTATCCCTTTCTCTGTGTGTGTGTATGTGTGTGTGTGTGTGTATATGTGAGAATAACAAACAATATAAGAATTTTTTCTTATAGAATGTTTTATTTTTATGTTTTATTTAAATGTTTTATTTTTATGTTTTATTTAATTCATGTCCTCTGTTTTACAGAAAGATTCAGATGAACTATTGGAAACAATTCTGAAAATACAAATTATTATGGATAAAGCTTTGGTATGCATTATTGATATTGATAATATCTTTGTTTTGTGTTTAAATTCAAAGGGAATATGAAAATGAAAATTCCACTTGTCTGAAATACAGATATAGTTTACTCTGTTCAAAATATGTATCTGAGTGTAGCAGGACATAAATGTCAATTGCCTTTGCATTGGCATTGGGGGGAACTAGTATTTATAGTATTGATTTCAAAATCAATATAGAATTCTAGCAAAAATGTATAATTTGTATGTATGAAGAGTTCTACTACATTATAATCTAGTCAATTATAATGAGCTGCATATATTTCTGGATTCGCCCCAAATAGTGATGAAACTCTTACATAAATTAAGTTTTATTTTTAAAATAAGCTATTTAATTATTGAATTGGAGATTCCTGTTATTAAAAAGTTATCTTTTATAAGATTATTTTATGCTTTATAATTTCTTGGATTCTCTTAAATTCTCTGATGGAAATTTTATATTTTAAAAATGGGAAGAATTATTCATAGGAATGTTCATTTAGTTAGGGAATATATTTTTTAAAGATTTTATTTATTTATTTGAGAGAAAGAGCATGAACGGAGTGAGGGCAGAGGGAGAAGCAGACTCCCTGTTGGTCAGGGAGCCCATGGTGAGACTCCATCCTGGGACTCCGGGATCATGACCTGAGCTGAAGACAGACACCTAACCAATGAACCACCCAGGTGCCCCAGTTAGGGAAATTTTTGTTTATATAATCAATTTTAGCAAAGCCATTATGGTTAGCAATTATGAAATCTGATCTTTCTTTATTACTGATATTTTTGCATAAGGTCTGTCAATAAGTGCATAATTTTCAAAATTAGTTTTTGTTGATAAAAGGAAATATTTAGATCTTTACATAATTTTTATAAAAACAACAGGAAAAAGTAGACAACATAATAATAAAGAAAAAAGCACATATAATTTTATATGCACGTTTCCTTTCTTTTATTTAAACATGTATGTGTAAGTTCTTATACCTTTGTTTTGTATATGCTGTTTTGTAAATTATAATGTTTTCCCACATATTAATGAAATATATTATTTCAATTTAATTTTAACATTCACCTAGTGTCTGATTAATATAATTTAATCTATTTTACTAGCTAATGCCCTTTGGGGGATTTAGATTTAGGTTTTGGTTGTTACATGAGGAATAATACTCACAAGCATTGAAATTATGCTCTGCCACAGCTGCCCCCATGAAGTTGCTAAAATTAAATCTAGACAGCCTACTTTCCTCTCCCCATTTAACTGAATACCTTCTTCCTTTCCAATAAAAACAGAAGGCATTTTCAATGCAAATGTCATCATGAGAAAACAACAACAAAGAACTCTAGAGCTTTTATATCTTATGATTAGTATTCCCTCTTTTTTATGTTCAGTTTATCTGTCTTAAATTTTAAAGTATGACTTTGTAAACTATTTTTTTCCTTACTCAGATAATCCCTGCCTTTTCATTAGAATGTTTAGTTGATTTATGTTTATCAAAATTACTAATACTGTGGATGTAGGTTAAGTACTGCTATGCTCTTAGTGTTCTACTCTTCCTATTAGTTATTTGTTCTTTTGTTCCTCCTTTGCTACCCTTGGATTAGTGGGTTATTTTTAGTTTTTATCTTTATCTCCTATATTGGTTTTCCCTGTGATCTCTCTTTATCCCCCACATCTTACCCCAGTGGTTTCTTTTTGGTTTGAATTAACATTCCTAACTAGAATTAATATTATATCACTTCACATATAATGTAAAAGCTTTATAACACTAAAGTTCCATTTAACCCTGATGTGGATATTAGCTCCTTAACAGATATAGCATTTGCAGATATCTTCTCATGTTCAGTAGGTTTCTTTTTTGTTTTGTTAATGATTTCTTTCACCATGCAAAAGCTTTTTTTTTCCCAAAAGCTTTTCATTTTGATGTAGTTCCAATAGTTTATTTTTGCTTTTGTTTCCCTTGCCTTAGAAGAAATATCTAGAAAAATGTTGCTATGGTTGATGTCAGAGAATTATTCCCTGTGCTCTCTTCTAGGATTTTTATGATTTCATATCTCACATTTACATCTTTACATTTTGAGTTTAGTTTTGTGTATGATGTTAGAAAGTGGTCCAGTTTCATTCTTTTCATGTAGCTGTCCAGTTTTTGCAACATCATTTATGGAAGAAATTGTCTTTTCCCCATCATATATGCTTGCCTCCTTTGTCATAGATTAATTGACTATATAATTGTGGGTTTATTTCTGGGCTTTCTATTCTGTTCCATTGATCCATGTGTCTACTTTTGTGCCAATACCATATTGTTTTGATTACTACAGCTTTGTAATATAACTTGAGATATGGAATTGTGTTACCTCCAGCTTTGTTCTTCTTGCTTAACATTGCTTTGGCTATTTGGGATCTTTGTGGTTCCATTACAGAGCCATGAAATAGAATGAGGTCATGCTATTTGTGACAACATGGATGGATCTAGAAGCTATTGTGTTAAATGATGTAAGTCAGACTGAGAAAAACAAGTACCATATGATTTTACTCATATGTGGAATCTAAAAAAATAAAATAAACAAGAAGCAGAATTAGACACATAAACATAGAGAAAAAACTGATGGCTGCCAAAGTGGAGGGAGTTGGGGATTAGGTAAAATGGGTGAAAGGGAGTGGGAGATACAGTCTTCTAGTTATGGAATGAATGTTATGGGAATAAAAGGCACAGCATAACATTAGAAATAGAGTCAATGATATTGTAATAGCTTTGTATGGTGACAAATAGGAGCTACATTTGTGGTGAGCATAGGGTAATGTTTATACTTTTGGAATTACTATGCTGTACACCTGAAACTGATGTAACATTTTGTGTCAACTGCACTCAAATAAAAAAATAATGAAAATAATTGTAAAAATAAACCTATGTGATTTTTTTAAAACCAAATTTATCAATTTATACAGGATCTAAGGGCCATAAACTCTTTTGTAATTTCTCGGCACCCTGTGGTCTCAAATCCAGCTTTCAATTTTTTTAAATTTTTTATATAAATTCAATTAGCCAACATATAGTACATCAATAGTTTCAGGTATAGTGTTCCGTATGTGATGTTATTATATTTTACTTTGCCATGTGTTATAAACCACAAAATAAATTATTTTTTAAATATTCAATTGTTTGAAGAAATTAAGGAAAAGAAAAAAGAATTTAATTTTTCCCTCATGTTTACCATTTTCAAAGCTCTTCTTTCCTTCTTATAAGTCTGTGTTTCTGATATTTCTGTTTAGCTTGTTGATGAATTTGCTTCAGCTTTTGCTCATCTGAAATCATTTTTATTTCATCTTCACTTTTTAAATATTTTATTTGGAAAAATTTTCAAACTTTCAAAAAAGTTGCAAGAATTGTGCTATGGTGAGTGCTGTGAATTGTGTAAGACTGTTGAATCACAGATCTGTGCCTCTGAAACAAATAATACATTATATATTTTAAAAAAAAAGAAGATAGCAGGAGGGGAAGAATGAAGGGGGAATCGGAGGGGGAGATGAATCATGAGAGACTATGGACTCTGAAAAACAAACTGAGGGTTCTAGAGGGGAGGGGATGGGGGGATGTGTAAGCCTGGTGATGGGTGTTAAAGAGGGCATGTTCTGCATGGAGCACTGGGTGTTATACGCAAACAATGAATCATGGAACACTACATC